CCGCTGGAACGGAATGATCCCGGTGGCCGCTCTCAGGTTTCTCTCTGGTAGCAATTAGTGGACTCGCGCGCCAGAACGAAGACGTGGGGGGGGGGGGCGCACTTATTGGCTCCCGTGGAGGGACATCGTGGCGCCATCAATGATGGTGTGGCCTATGGCATGTCCCTCGCATGGTATCCCTGGCGGAAATATTTCTACAAAATTGAAAAAACTATAAAATATAATTGCCAGAATCTATTAAATTCTACATGAATTTAAGAAGTACTACAAATTCCTACATGAAAATGCTAGAATTGGAACACTTTTGTAAATTTTTGTTGTATTCTACAAGAAAGCAGATGTTTTAATTTTTTAAGATTTTGTTTCTTCTTAAATTCTTAAGATTTGTAGATTTTTGTACTATTTTTTATAAATTGTAGTTTTTCATAAAATACTACTTGCAATAATTTCTTGATTTGAGAACATTGTAATTTGTGGTACTATTTCGTAGATATTTCTACAAAAAAATAACCATTTCTACAAAAAATTAAATATTTAAACAAAAATGTACAAATTTCTATTTTTAGTTAAATTTTGTAGTTATTCATAGAAATTTTTTCCGCCAGGGATGACATAGCGCGCCAGAGACAGTCAGTCAATTTCAATTGGCTGACCAGCCGCGCATGCTCTTCTACGGGAGCATCTCTTTTGCGAAAGCAGACGGACGTGTTACGGAGGAAAGGGTGTCTCTTGAAAGGGTGAGCGCGGGGGTCTGAAGAGTACCGAGCGATGTTCCGGGCCCTTTGTACACCAGAGGCTGGTTGCCAGAGGGGTGGATTTTTAGTGGGTGCAAGCCCCACATATCCCTGAGAGATCGGATCTCAGGGTATGCGGCATGTATAAGTTCTCCCTCCGAGGGGGCATCATGCATAGACATTTTCCCATCCTACGCAAAAAAAAGACTAAAATAAAATATATAATGACGTCACGTCATAGAAAGTCGTTAGAAGTTAATTAAGCTTATCAGAGAGCTTATTGTAATGGCAGAAACGGGGCAGAAATCGAGCATGCCCTCTGCCATCTCATATAGTAACAGCATAAATAAAGCAGAATTAAATGCATATAGCGTCAGGAAATAATAAACATGGCACATAAAACATAGCACGTATCATATGTATAAGATTTGCTCTTCATGCAAATGTTAGCTAGGTTATTGCTGTTAGCATTTTATTTCTTTTTACTAGATAGATAGATAGATAAGATACTTTATTACCCCAAGGGGTCTAAAAGGGCGTTTTTTAGGGACGTACCCAACCCTGTACATCCAGTTTACAACAATTTACATACAATTAAAATACATATAATTTATTATAAACATATTCCTCTTCGATCCTTTTCGTTGTCTCGTCCTCCTTGATCCTCTTTCGTTGAGTTGTTGGCTTGTCCTTCTTCCTTTCTCATTATCCTCCCTCCTCCATCTCGTCTCATTTCCTCTATTGCTTTCATCCATTCTTCTCCCTCTCCCTTTTCTCCTAGTAATCTCTCTGCCACATCCTGCCACCCCTCTCCTTCCCATTCCACCCATCTCGTTCATTCCTCCCATACATGTTCCCATGTTTCCTCTTCCTTCCCACACATCCTGCATTTTTTGTCCTCCTCATTTTCCCAGTATAATCCTTCCCTCACTTCGTTACCCAGTCTGAATCTTGCAATCCTGTTCCATCTTGCTTCCTCCCATCCCTTCATTAGATAGTCCGGGATCCCGTCCTTCCTTATGCTCTTATACCATCTATTGTACTTCGATCCTACGATCTTTTCCATCCTTTCTTGTCTCTCCTTATCTCTCTCCTTTTCCAATTCCTCCTCCTCCAACTCCTCTCCTCCTTCCATTTCTACTCCGATCCCTTCCAAGTAATCTTTTCTCTCCTGCTCCCATCTCCCTATTACCTTTCCTCTCTTCCATCTCTCTTTCATTTCTTCCAAACACTTTCTCGCTATCTCTTCTCCTCTACCTTCTTCCAATTTTCTTTCAAATTTCCATGTTCTCTTGCTTGCTCTACTTCTCATCTTCTCTCTTTCTAGCTCGTCTCTGACCATATATCCCGGCGTCCTCCAATTTACTCCAAGTACCCATCTAAGATATCTCTCGTGAATACCTTCTACCTCCCTTCTCTCCTTCCATCACCATACTTCTGCCCCGTATCCCATCACTGTCCATATCAGTGTGTTGTATAGCCAGATCCTTCTTTTGCAGTCCTTTTTCCACATCCTCTTCCCTATCCCCCATACTTCCCTCATTACTCTTGCTGCCTTCTTTCTTCTCTCTCTGATATGCACCTCCTGCCCTCCATTCTCCTTCATCGTATACCCTAAATACTTGAATTCTTTAACCTCTTCTAATTTTTTCCCTTCTACCTCCAGTCGTACTTCTTCTTCCTTCCTCCTCCCTTTCTGAATCTCATTACCTTTGACTTCTCTATACTCAGAGTTAACCCTTTTCTGTCTAGATATCCTTCTAACCTGCTTATCATCGATCTCATGTCCTGCTCCTCCTCTGCCAGCAGTGCAATATCATCTGCATACATTAGCGTGTATATTTTCTCGCCTCTTAATTTCACTCCTCCCCATCCGCCTTTTTTTATATGATCCTCTATGTCTGCGATTAATAGGTTGAATAATATTGGGCTTAGTGGACATCCCTGTCTCAGGCCTTTCGCCGTCCAAAATTGACCATCACTCTCTCCTCCTTTCCCTACTCTGCTCTTTGTTTCCCTCAATACTTCCTCTACTCTGTCTATCAGTCCTTGTCTCACTCCTCTTTCTCTCATTGCCTTGATTAATACTCTTTTGTCCACTGAGTCGAAGGCAGCTTTCAGATCCACAAAAAACACTGTCATCTTTCCTTTCTCTTTTCCTATTTGTCTGTTCACCAGGTAATTCAAAGCGAATATTTGATCCATCGTTCCCATTCCTTTCCTGAATCCCGTTTGATTATCGGGGATCAATTTCTTCGTTTCTACTTCTTCTCTTATTCTTTCCGCCAGTACCGCCGTGTAGATTTTGTACATCGAAGACATGATGGTTATTCCTCTATAGTCCTTCACCTCTCGCCCTTCTCCTTTTTTAACTAATGGGATTATCTCCCCTTCTTTCCATTGTTCCGGCCAGCCTTCACCTCTCCAGACACGTTTGCATACCTCCCATATCCATTTCACCATTTCTTCTCCTCCGTACTTCCATGCCTCGTTAGGTATCCCGTCATTGCCTATTGCTTTTCCCGTCTTTAGTTTCTTTATTACGTTTCTTATCTCTTCTAATCCTATCTCTTCTTCCTCCTGTCTGCTTCTGTCTCCCTCTCCCTTTACCACTCTGTTCTCCACTCCACCCATCAGATCCATGAAATACTCCTTTCACTCTTCCGGTTTTATCTCTTCATTCACCCTTCTTCTTCTCTTCCTTACTCTGCCTATCAACTCCCATACCTTTCCCTCCGTTTTCGCTTCTCCAATCTCTCTGATCATTCTTTCTTTCTCCTTCTTCTTCTTTCTATCACACATTTCCCTATATTCTTTCCTTCTTTCTCTGTATCTTTCTGCCTCTCCTTTCCCTTTTCTCCATTTCCTTAGTTCTTTCCTCACTTCCCTCTTGCTCTCCGTACATTCCTCGTCCCACCACCCTCTTTTGTTCTTGATAGTCATTCTTTCATTCTTGTCCTCGTTCTCCTCAATCACCCTTCTTATCTTCCTTGTTCCTTCCTCTATTTCCTCTTGCAGGTCTCTTTTTCCTTCAATCGCGCTTAACTTCTCCCTAAATTGCGTCTTTCCTTCCTCATTCTATACTCTCCTTCTTCTCATTTTTTCAGTTCCTCTCCTCCTTTGCCTTCTCTTTGAGCTTCCCCTCACCCATAGTATTAATGGGTGATGGTCCGAATCTATCCTTTCTCCTACTTCCAGTCTTTCCACCTTTTCTCTAACCTCCTCGTCCCCTATTATGTAATCTATGACTGTCTCACCTCTTCCCCCTGTGTATGTATATTCTCCCTCCTCGTCCCCCTTCGTGCCTCCATTTAATATCATACATCCTCTCTCCTCGATAAACTCCAGTAACTTTCTGCCTTCTTTATTTATCTTCTTATCTTTAGACTTCCTCCCTCTTTCCTCTCTTCGCTCGATTTCCTCTTCCCATCCTCCTTCCTCTCCCGTTCTCGCGTTAAAGTCACCTCCTATTATGGTCCTTACTCCTTTTTCCCCCTCCTCCGTCCTTTCCTTCAGACCTTCTAGTTTCTCGTCTATATTGTTGTTTACATAGATTCCTATTATTCTCCATACTTCCTCTCCTATTCTTATCTTACCTTCGATTTTTCCTTCTTCCTCCGTCTCCCTTCTTTCCTTTATCTCTTCTATGCTTTTCCTTATTCCTAGCAACATGCCTCCGCACGCTCTGCCTTTCTTGTTCCTCCTGGCTGCTATCTGTACTCTCCATCTATATTCTCTCGGTAGCTTCTCCTTTACCTTCTCCCATCCTTTCTCATCAGTCCAAGTCTCCATCATCACAATCACATCCCATTCCTTTATCCCTTCCCAGAAGTCCTTATCCTTGTTTGATAAACCAGCTACGTTCCAAAAGGCCACTTTCCACGTCTCTTCACTCTCCCCGTCGTTTCTTTCCTCTTCTCCTATATATCTTTTCTCTTGTCCCTCAACTTCCCTTATACCGTTTCCTCTAATATTTTCCTCATCTACCTCCTTTATACTTTCTTCGTCCTTTCTGGTTTCTTCTGGTGTGTTCCGCCTTTCTTCTATCTCCTTGGACTTTTCCTGTCTTCTTTCTTGTATCTCTTCCCTCCTTCTCTCGTTCATCATGCTTAACCCTTCTTTATCCTTCTTCTTTTCTTTCTTATCTGCGAAAGTGATCCCTTTCTTCTAGCGCTTCTTTGTTTTCGTTCCATCTCCATTCCTTATTATCTTCCCATATTTTTTGGTAACCGACCGTTACCCATTTTCCTGCCTCCCTTTTTTCCCTTGCTATCTTTCTTAACTCTTTCTGTATCTGCCTTTCTTCTTTAGTAAGATCGTCATTCAGAAAACAGCCATACTTCTTTCCTAGCTCTTTCTTTCTCATCATTATCTCTCGTTTGTTATCTCAATTTCTGCATCTCAGTACCTTCATCTTAAATTCTCCATGTCCAATTTCTTGTACTTCCTCGTACGGCCATTTTCGATCTATTTATTTCTTTTATCAACTTCTCGGTTTTTTCTTTTCTTTCCTTTTCATTTCCTGTTTCTCTTCTTTTACAATTATGTTTACTCTCCTCCTTCTTCTTTCTGCCATCTCCATATTTCTTTCTATCTCTTTCATTTTCCTTATTATCTCCCCTCCCTCACTCATTGACATGTTTACTTCTATCTTCTCCGCCTTCTCCTCTAAATTCTTAATTCTTCCTTCCAGGGTCTTTCTTTGATTTTCCCATATCTCCTCGCTTCTCCTCAATTCCTCCCTCAGTCCCTTAATTTTGTTTTTTATTTCCTCTTTATCTCTTTTTCTTTCTTTCTTTTGTTCCTCCTTATCTTTCTTTCTTTCTCCCTCTTGTTCCTCCATTTTCTTCAAAATTTCTTTAACCTTCTCCAGTAATTCTTCCGTCGCCATATTTTCTTTTCCCTGCTTTTCTTTTTTGATTTTGGGCGGCGGTGATCTGTTGACCCTTCTTTGTGCGTTAAATTCTTTTAGAATTTCTTCCTCCGCATTCGCTGCTTCCTCCACCTCTTCTTCCCTCTTCCTTTTCTCACTCTTCTGAAAGAATTCTTTGACCGATCCTGTACTGTCCGTTCTTCTTAATTTGGCTAACTCCTCCGCCTTCGTTGGTCTGCCTCTCGCTTTCTTCTCGCCTTCGCCTTCCCCCTTCTTTCCTTTATCTCCCTGTTGTACACTTTCTGATTCTATTTCCTTCTCTTTATCCATCCGCTGTTCTTGATTTGCCTATCCCTCTTTCTTGTTTTGTATCCTATGGCTGCGTGCACGTCCTACTATTCCTTCTATATCCGAGCTTCCCTTCTATGACTGAGCTAGTCTATGCCCGCTTTCGCGCCTCTTTCCTACGTTCTGTCGCCTCTCTATGTTACTTACCGTCTATGCCTCAACTGTCACTTCGTTCCAGCCACTTTCTTCACTTTTCACCTTTCAACCGATCTCGCCCCCGCTTAACTCTTTCTCCTCCGCCGTCTCACACCTCCATCCCTTGCCGTCCCGCTACTCTCACTCTCTCCCACCCTTTCTGTGTCGCACTTTTCTATCACTTTATCTCCGCTATGTTTACACCTGTCACCTTCTATGTTCCGGAACCGGAAGTCTATTTCTTTTTACTATATTGCATCATGTTATTTTTTTGTGTTCCCAATATGGTTTCTATAATTAAATACAATACTATATATAATCTGGAAAAGGATACATATATTTTTTTCCAAATTAGGATAACTCTGGTATATACGCCGCACCTAAGACTTAATTTATTGAGTGCTATTTAATATGTTTAAGGCAAATAAATTATACCAATAAAAACTTTATACTGGTCTACTACTATAAAAAAATTAGAAATATAAAATATTTATTCTTTGTATTTAACAAAAATAAACTTTAGAGACCCTTGCAATTTGCCATATATCCCATAGGGGTGGGATAAATGATATTCATAGGTGGAATATACCGCTTATACGCTTTATAAAAAATTACAAGTAATGTTTATAAAGGAGGCAATAAAATGTTATAATAAGTTATAAAATGTGTGTAAAAAGTTTATTAAGGTGTAAGAAACTGAAAAAATTTAAAAAGAAAATAGACGAACGATAGATGCGTTAAAGGTTATTGTTATATATTGTTGCGCTCGCCGAGTCCGCGTTCGCGTCTCACCCACCGCTCGCACTCTCACTCACTCGCGCAACCGGCACTCGCGGTCAATGAGACGACACAATGTAAGAAATGGAAAGACTCGTTTATTAGAACAAACGGATTAAAACACAGAATCGAGCTGTCACGTCCGCTCGGAGACGGAGGCTCAGAATAAAACAACAACAAATCGTAGTAAATCGATAAATCAATAAACAGCTGGTCGTCAGGGACAATCTTTGACTTCCGTTCGTGCAACGGGTGTCTCAGCGCGGGCGTAATAATATGATCCAAAAAATAAAGGAAAAAGAACACATAAGAGATTTTGATTTTTACAGATCGAGTGTTTGTACTATGGCATAAATCCCGCACGCTAAAAGTGCCATATATCCTAAACAGGCGCGATATAGGTACAAGATATCTAAGCTAAACAAAGAATACAAGAGCTATGCGCACTTGTATTTTGCTGTATTCCATCCTTTACTATCCCTTTACATTTATATGTATACATCGTGAAATAACCATTAAACCTTTTACACTCTTTATAGTAACCATTTTACGTAGGTCGCGTAATATATATGATCGCGTTACTTACTACGCACGGTGAGAAATCGGTTCAACTCACGACGGTTTCGTTAATATTAACAGTAAAGAACTGAAATTACAACACAATAGGGGTACTCAAATAAGTTAAAGTTTAACGGTTTGACAGGTTATGTCGGGTTAAAGTCGGGTAAAAAGTTGATTTTTGAACTTTTAACCTAAAGATTAATGTGATAGGTTAATAAGACACTTATATATTTTGCATAACTTTAAAGAGTAGCGCGCCCAAAGTGTAAAAAATTAATTTTTTACCCGACTTTAACCCGACATAACCTGTCAAACCGTTAAACTCTAACTTATTTGAGTACCCCTAATACTAATATGGCATAAAGACACATAAGAGAATAATTGCGAATAAATACCTTCATTCCTTCCATTTTTTCTAACGTCTACGGCGTAAATTCCTGCGCGGCGTAAATACCAGAGTTACCCTATATATAGGGTCCCATTTTAACTTTTGCATTGAGATTTCTCGTGAATCAAGACTTCCATCAAAAAAAGTTTTGTATAATTTTATAGCTTCTAGGAAGATATATTATGATATTATATGCTACTGTCAATTGACCCGAATCAGAAATAGAAATGTTTACTCAAAATGATTTTTTAAAATAAAATCCCCTATTTTTTATTATAGATGCACGCACGCACACACGCACGCACGCACGCACGCACAAAATTTGGTAATAATGTCACTTCTCGTGGGCAAATAGAGATTAAATTGAGTAGAAAAGTTTTCCACCGTTTCGTGATTTTTTCAATAATACAGAACGAGGAAAAAGGCTGGAACCGGTGAAATATCTCAAAAACAAGACATTTTAGGAAAAAATGTTTTATACATAAGTTGTAGGGCTTCAACAAATGCATCAAACGGTGGTACTTATTTGACCTTGAGCGTAAGTATGGAGGAGCTTTCAAGGTCAACTTTGAAATTTTAAATGAAATCCTTACTTTTTTATTTAATACTACACACTACAGACGCGCGCTACGCGCGCGCTATTTATCTTTAACATTTCACTATTAACCCTATTATACACAACTGTCAAAATATACAATGACAGCTGCAAATGAAGTAAGCGCAGCAAGAAAACCAATCGGCATCGCGGAAAAGCGGCAACAATAAACTTCACATCTCTTTTTTAGAAAAGGATTTTTGTAGCTGACATGGAGAGCTTTTCAAAACACTATCAATAAACTTTTTTCGGTTGAGTACTTTTAGAGATACAAATTGACAAAGTTCAAGTACCGCTGGCATTAACATTAGCCAAGGTGTACCGCATGGAGGTTGCATGGTCGGATTTAAGGCCATCGCACATAAAATGCATAGCTTAGCATAAGCGTAGCATAAGACCGCTGGATCAATGAGCATCTTATGTAAATCAATATGGCGACTTTATGCTGGATGCTCATTGGTTTAGCGATCTTATGCTATGCTTATGCTAAGCTATGCATTTTGTGTGCGATGGCCTTTACACCCTATTATATGTGTGTGTATGTGCGTTCGTGCGTACGTGCGTGCGCGCGCGCGCACGTGTTGTATCAACATATCAACGATTATTAAACTCATTTTATCAGTTATTTTCTGTCTAGTGTTTTTTGAGTCACCGCAAAAAAATATATACGAAAATTGTAGAGAATTGAATCCTCTACAAGTTTTATTGGAACATTTTTTTTATCAAACTAACAGGGGGCGATATAAGTGTCAATAAAATTGTTCAACCCCTAATTAACGACACTTTTTTGGTTTTAACTTTTTTTCCTTGACAGCTATTAAAAATTTTTTCGAACAAAAGTAGCAAATATTTTTCCCTACAAAACTAAAAAAAAAAACAAAATGCGACCAATGAAAGCCGAGATATTCAAACTTTAAATATTCACCCCTATTTTCAAGATGGCCGCCGACGCACAGGGAAATTTTGTTGGAATTTTGTGAATTTGGGCATCTCCTATGACCCTCTACTCACCCTCAAAAAATTGGCTTGTCAATCCGTTTTGCCATTTTCAAACCTAATTTTACTGGACCTACAGGCGAGAAAATAATTTTTTTTTGTGTGGCTGTATTATTGGTTTAAACAAAAAAATGTTTTAAGACATTAACATAACTGGAATAAGTTATTAAGTTTAAAGTGAAGATTTTAAAGACACAATTAGAATTATGATATGATGACTAGATTTATAAATATAACATTTAATATTACATCACTGATTTATTTTACTTTTGGCTATACAAAACTAAAAATATTTTCTTCATACCTCGGTCGAAAGTACGTACTTTCGTCCCTAATAGCAAGGACGAAATCCCTGTGAGAAGTACACGCGCGCTCTCTATACGGCGGTAACACGAACCGGATAGGAACTTCGAGATTACGTTCCAGTACCTCTCGAAGCGTAGGCTCGAGGCGTCAGTTGCCTTTGCAGGTTAGGTTTTCACCGGCTTGTAGGCTCGAGGGAACGGTGCCGGCACGTGCCGGGCTTCCCGACGATCCGCGTCTCGTTCCCCGGCCGGAAGACGCGATCCCGACGACGGACGGCTTATCGATCGTCCTGGCGTGCGAATCCGCGCGACACACGTGCACACACATACCAACGGTCACCCCGTTGGCACGCACGTGAATTTATTTTTACAAAATATGACAAGACTTGACTCTTCGAATGTATTTGATGCCTGCCCCCCCCGACCAGCAGCACTCGCTTCGCTCGTGCCGCAAATGTCGGGGGCAGGCATCAAAAACATGCTTATTAACATTTAAAGTTAAAAAAAGTAAAATTAATAACGTACTTTCGACCGGCTATGAAGAAAAATCGTATACACTACGCGGGCCAAAAGTTGAAATCTCGGTCCTGCTCGTCATGATGCCCTCGGCTTCGCCTCGGGGCATCATGACGTGCAGAACCGAAAATTCAACTTTCGGCCCTTGTAGTGTAATATACTATTTCTGTTTGCGAAAATACACTACTCAGCCTAAAATAACTAATTGAAATATTATCGCAATGTTTTTGCGAAAATACTATATTTTTTATGCAATATTGTCTTTTGTCACTTTTGCAATAATTGTGTATCTACCTGCCCCATGTACCAACCAGTCCCGGTCTCCCCTATAATTTCAGCAGTTTTCTATAATTTATACGTCTATTTGGAAGAAAGAGAGCATAGAAGTGATGCATATATTATTTTATATCTTTACCCAACAATTTGTTCAAACATTTAGTTCAAACAACTAAATAAGTTTAAAAAATTCAAAATTATTCTATCTTTTTGTAGACATAGTTTATAGTTTATGTAATATAAAACCGATAAAAACAAATATAATTCAAACATTATGAAATAAGATATTAAAAAATCTACTACATGGTGTAATGTGTAATTACTTACAAATTGCACCATTGCCATGACTGATGCTATGACCAATGGACAAATAAATATCACGCAGCTGAACTTCATTTTTCCATAGAATCTGTTGATAAATATTTCTAATTAGTAAATTGGATCAATACCTTCTTAAAAGTAATCGTGATCTATCTCTGAGGAATATAATTAATTTGATTCCTTATATCTTTTAATAATGCAAACAATAATATCATGAAAATGTTATATTTCTTCGAATTCGTTCCCCTTCTGCTAAATAAAAATAATAATTAGTTTATAAAAATATCAGTAATTCTCAACAAAATTATACATGTTTGAAAAAAATAATAATTAAAATATTAACGAATACTTAATAATCTAGTTATAGAGTTATTTTACATTTTTAAATTTTAAAACATTTTGTGTAAATATATTAAAAAATATATAACTAGATAAATATTATTGTAAATTTTTTTTTTCTCGTGTAGATTTTAACAGAAATCTACTTTGGGGCTTTGGTGTGGTAGTCAGGTAGTTGCTGTTTATTTGCCAAGATATGAAATATTCTCAAATTGTAGTAGAAATTACAATCTTGAAGATAGTTTTCACTAAAGTAAAAATTGATTTTACAGTTACTCTTACTAAATATAAAAGTACAGTTATTAAATATACCAAATTACATATGTTTGTAAAATAAATTCTTAGAAATAAAAATAAAAATTCTTAGAAATAACGTTCAAAGATTTTATTCTGAACAGAATAGATTACAGACTGTTTTATATTATATAAATTATATGTAAAATCCTTATAACGATACGCATGCCATTCGCTTTTTATAAATTTTCTATTTCAAATTAAAATTTTGATGCTGTATCATAAACAAGAAATTGTCAAAATCAATAATTTTCTTACCTGAAATATACAAGTTATTACTCGAATGGCAAAAAACATACTGAAACTAAAATAATAGGGAAACAGTCAAATCAGCACTGTGATAAGCATTTCAGTGATAGTTGTAGTCAATTTCTGACTTAGTCACGTTTAGCATTAGCATTATGAGTCAAGCGATAGAAAAACTTTTAATTCTTTCATAAATTATACATACCCAGATAGCAAAGCGTGTCTGAACAAAATCGCGCAAACCTGTGATGCTATATGATGCTATATGGCAACTTACCGTATATTTGTTTCAATTGATTTCGAGTAATTTAATATTTGAAGCAATACGCAGGCAACATTGGATATATATGTATTGCCAGCAATTTGTCGGCAAAAGAACAGCATCAACCCGGGAAAAAAAGATTATATATAATTATATATAATTAATTATAAAATTCTTTTCTTCGTCAGTACAAAATTAATAAGAGGTATTATTTGACCAAACTGACGTTACGTTTAATGTCGTAATATTACCTTTTTAGTTCATTCCTCAACGTTTCGACACTCGTTTTGTGTCCTTATCAAGAGTACTAAAAACAACGAAATCATGTTACATAAAATAATATCTCGCACAAGGAACAAGAGCGTAGAAAAAGGAGTATATATATATACCTATCTCATAGAGATTAGCCGCACGTAATTTCATTGCAGTTTTAGCACTTTGTCAAATTTCAAGAATATAAATATTAATCTAAAGGAGCCGCGATCCATCCTCAATTAATAGTGCGATGTAGAACCGGATTAAGAAATAACCAGAACGGAGACATGCAGGAGCAGTCGTTCCGAGTCAAAGGACGGCGTCCGACTACTTTGAAAATAATGAATACACGAGTGGGTCACAGGAAGAAAAACATACGCACGGAGAGAGAAATGTTATGTAGCTCTTATAATTCAGTCATATAACGGATTAAGATTTTCAGTGTCTTTTTTGAGATTTATCGTATTGTTATGTTTTTTAATATAGAACATCTCCGCTAACTCTCTCTTCCTCACATTTCTCTCCCTATGCAAAACCTCAGCGGTGGACCATTTAAAATCATGCCCGTGCGTCAATCGGTGCTTGCTGACTACGGAAAACTTGCTCTCATTTTTTTAATGTCACTGCGATGCTCCTTCACACGAGTTTTCAGGTATCTTAATGTTTGACCTATATAGAACACATTACAGTCGTTACAGTCAATTTTATAAACTACACCTGTTTCCTTCATGTTTTCAAGTTTGTCTTTGCCAAGTTTTATAATTGAGTCGAGTTTTTTAGGAATCGTGTGAAGGACATCCAAGTCACATCGGTTTACGGTACGGCGAATATTCTCGCTTAAACCCTTTACGTAAGTTTTTGCCTTTATGACTTTATCTATTATTGTTTTTGAGAGCTTTATTCTTGATATCAAGAGACACGGTAGTGTCTCGCGCCAAGTACACGCGGAGCGAGACCGACCGTGACTCTTTTACGCGACGCGACGGGTTGCGAGTACCCGAGATGTTGAGATCTCGATAACGAGTGAACGGATCAAGTTCTAAGTAGGCTTGATCGATAGCTTGGGGTCCAATTAGGGGGGGGGCGTTTCTCTCATAATATACCGCTACGTGCCCTACGAGCGGAGATATTGCGACGCAAAGTCCAAATGTGAAAATTTATTTTTAAGATACGTATACTTCTAACGCCGACGTTCTTGTATGATGACGTCATAATCAGAAACGTCACTTTCACTTTTTCGACGCTGGCGGCGCAGGTATCGCCAATTTCGATATCGCGCGCGTATTTCGAAATTAAGTCGATAGGAGTAAGATTTCTATTTAGGTATTTTAGGTAAATTAGGTATATACTTATATAATATATATTGAGTCAATTCCTTCATGTTTTTCTGGAGAGATTTCGTATCCTTACATCGTATTACCAGAGAGAAACCTGAGAGCGGCCATCCGGCTTCGGGGGATGTCTGTCCTAATCTGCCCTCTGAGAAAGTGGACGTCAACTACGGCGTTACGCTCGGTAACGATCAGAGAGGACTCGGGTAACGATACATGGGTTCGTATCCATGCTATGGTTCGTGTCCGAACTACTCAGATGGAGGGGATATGCTGGTCGCGCAAGCCTTTCCTCTCTGTCCGTGTACGCCAGGCCCTCGGCAAGCTTCGAGCGGGGAGAGAAGGGCAGACATACAATCTGCTGTCTCTCTTGAGCTGTGACGTTGCCGCTTTGCACGGGCCGGCTTGCCGGCTATACCACGATGCCACGCATTTCGGGTATCGCGTCTCGTGTCTCGCCGAGTGCCGAGTCTTGAGTTGACAAATCGACGATACGCTATACCCGCTCTATACGTTACATTTGCTTGTATAGAAATTTTAATTTTTTTATTTATAATTAAATAAATATATATATATATATATATATGTATATATATATGTATATATATTTGAAATTTATAAATATATAAAGATTGCAAATATAATTAATTAAATCAATATTTATAAACATAAAAACCTAAAAACTAAAATTCGTAAATGTAATGTATAGAAATCACTGTTCTATGCTTTTCTATTTAAAAAAGTGTTACATTAAAAACCTTTATTTTGCATAATAAATTTTAAATTTAATATTTAAATGCATACCAATAATTATATTATTAACTATATTGAGAAAAAAATGGTAATTTATAATGTTTCTTGCACTCTTATTAAATTTATTTTACCTATGCATGTTCAAGCGGCCAAATTACGAGCAACAACAGAAGGATAATTGGATAAAAATAAAAACACTTTCTTAAATAAACAATACACATGGGTAACAGTGAGTTCTATTATAATTCTCGTATAGTTCTGAACGTGTTCTAACGTTTATTTCTAAAGAGTTCTGACGATAAGCATTATTTATTCATATTTTAAATAATTTTTATCGCCCAAGAAAGACGCATTTACGGGTATGTGGGTGAGACGCTGTAGAAAATCTCGGAGTTCTGGCTTATATAAAATATTTTTCGTACAGTTCTAAGCATACTAAAACAATTTCTAAAAAGTTCCGGGCATTGGCAATGTTGTATAATTTTTAAATAAATTAATAACGCACGAAAGTCAGGAATTTATCGAGAGGTCTTTTTCGAGCGATAAAAATTATTTAAAAAATGAATAAATAATGCTTATTGCCAGAATAAAATGGGACAACGTTAGAACACGTTCAGAACTACACGAGAATTATAGCAGAACTCACAGAACTGCCAAAATACGGCCAGCGTCTCACCTTATTTTCGATAAATTCCTGATTTTCGAGCGGTATTAATTTATTTAAAAATTATACAACGTAGCTAGTGTTTGCTAAAGTTAATAAACATATATATACAACGTAGCTAGTGGCGGGAACTCTTTAGAAAATGCTTTAGTATGCTCAGAACTATACGAAAAATATTTTATATAAGCCAAAAGCTCCGAGATTTCGCACAGCGTCTCATCTTCTTCTGTCATGATTACTTTTCGGTTAATATTAATTTTTTTAAATATAACACAAAGATTCTAACGCTCGGAACTCTTTAGAAAATGTTTCAATATGCTCAAAACTACTCGAAAAAGATTTTACATAAACCGGAACTCCGAGATTTCAACTGGCGTCTCAACCGGTATACTCGATGCATTGTAATTTTTTTTTAGTACCTTATAATTAATTTTTTTGCTTTTATATGGCAGAACTCTTTATAGAACTGTTATAGAACTATAGATCTTGCAAAATCTGATGAGATACAGTGGTGGAACTTGTGCAGGACAAAATGAGACGCTGCGTGAACATAGCGTCTCAGTTTGTACTGACGCGTTTTTTGAAAGAAGCCAGAACTCTCAATAATTTGTGAGTTTCTGCAAAATGAGACGATAGCTTCACACACACGTTAGGAAGAGAATGTATAAAGAATTATTAACGGAGATATTTTAATTTGAAAGATCATTAAAATATATATTTTTCAGGAATGTTTTATAGGGAAACGAAGAAAATGAATAACGTTAAACTTTGCATGTTTTCTTCGCTTTATTTTAAAAATTTATTTTTATTTTTTAAGTAACAAAAATGCTCTTTTTTGTTATATCCTGGTCACTATAAATGACAGACGATGTAAATAATTTTAGCTGTTTTAGGTATCTGAAACGCTAAAAGCTAAAATTTTCTTATTCTGCAGGAGAAGTGTGGTTATCGTCTGAACTAGAACTAAATCAATATTTCCATTCTGAGCGGCTTTTTTATTTAAAATATTATAACTTTTTTCAAAATTTTATTAGTATTTTATTAAAAAAAAATGTTTATTCTAGTTCAGACGATAACCCATATCACTTATTCTGAATAAGAAAATTTTTGGTTTTTACGTTTCTGATACCTGTCGATTTAAGCTGCTTTAACTATTATTCTATTCACTGGCGAAATAAATTTATTATTCTGATTTTTAATAATATAAGAGAAATAAGACCGTTTTATGTGACCGTTATACAATCAATCAATATTAAATAAACCATTTACGATTTGAGCTTAGATTTTATAGTAGCCTAATAATATTTTTTATACACTATATTTACATATTTTTCCAACTTTAATCAACTATAATACGCGCCGATTAACTTGTCAGACTTACAACACAGCTCCTATTGGATTAATAAAATCCCCTCACACCCCTCTAATTAAATCGATTTAAATAATAGTAAAGAATTTACTACTCCAACAGGAGCTGTGTTGTAAGTCTGACAAGTTAGTCAGCGCGCAATTTATTAAGATTGGAAAAAATATACGTGTAATTATACATAAAAAACATTATTAGGCTATTAAGATCCAAGATCCAAGCTCGGATCGTACACGGCTTATTTAATATTGATTGATTGTATAACGGTCACATAAAACGGTCTTA